TTGCTATATACACCTAGATACTGGACAAATGGGGGAAAAGCTGAGTTATTTCGCTATTTTATTGAAAATAACTGTTGTTGTGTCAAGTTGTTTTATTTTTCAATGTTCAAATGAACCTCTTTTGTTTATCAGTCATAAGGTTGTTGATTTTGTATCGGATGAAACTTTGTGAAGATTTTTAAATCTGGAGATTGTGTCAACAGAGCATTCATAAATTACAATTTTTTCTTCTCTCTCTGTCTGTCTCTGTCTCTGTCTCTCTCTCTCTCTCTCTCTCTCTCTCTCTCTCTCTCTCTCCCTCCCCTCCCTCCCTCCCAGTTGAGAAAAGGTGTACCCTCTCCTTCCACCTCTCTCTCTCCCTCTCTCTCTCTCTCTCTCTTTCTCTTTTTCTCTCTTTCTCTCTCTTGAGTGGTTGAAAGACTCCCCTGATAGGTCCCATTGCTTTTTTAGCTTTCTGTTTGTTTTAGTCTGTCTATATTACTTGTTTCCAAGTTTTTGTCCTAGTGTTCTCTTGTCATAGCTTTTATGTGCATCTTTTATTCAAAGAACAACATACATAGGCACAAGCCACATTGCTTTTGTAGTGATGATTTCCCACTGTGATACATGCTGACCATCATTTATTCTTGTGCTCAGGTGGACAACTGCTCTCAGCCGGCCTGCATCACCAAGGATCTGTGTATGGTGGTTCACTCCCGAGACACCAAGATCTCCGCTCCCAGGTATGGTTGAGCTCCGTAAAAGATTGTTGTTTTTTGTTTCTGTGGAGTAATGTGCATTACATTATAAGACATATTTTACCAGCAGCCATACCTACTCTAATGGCCACCTGTCCAGGTCTAAACAAATGACCACCTCCCAGTTTCCTCCCCTCCGCCCCCTGTTCTTTTTGACTTTATAATGACACTGTCCATAGCATAATACCTAAGACAATCACGTTTGTCCTCTTCAGTGGGTGGCCTTCTTAGACAATTGCGACTGAATTATTTAATGTTCTGGTATTTAAATAGTACCTTTCATTTCATTATGTAGTCTTTTTTTTTTTTTTTCAGTGTACTAAAGGACCAAAACAAAACAGAGAGCTTTATCACGTGGGAATTCCTTTGCTTTCATAAAATAACTACCCACCAAGCGAATGATATCAGTTTCCTCCCCCTGTTTTCTTAAGTTTCAAAGAAATGATGTTATTTTTAATGAAATAATTGTTGCTATAGCTTTCAAAGAGAAGAAAAAAAGTATTGTATCCCATGTCAATGTGCTTTTCCTGTCTTGTTGCTAAGTGTCGCGCACTTGTCTTCATCTAAGTTATTTATGCATTCAGTTCAGTTCACGAACAAATCTGATCGTTTAATTCTAGATTAGAACTTTCTTTTGGCAAGTCGTGTTTTGGGGCTGGGCAAAACTGAAAAAACTGTATTTGCTCCCAATGCACTTAATTCCCTGAGTAGAAGAGAACAAGTCACTATCTTTCGCCTGCGAACACAACGCATCACACTGAATTCCTACCTAAATAGAATCCGATAGGATACCCCACCCGACTGCCCGTTGTGTGGCTGCTAGGATGAAACAGTATCACACCACCTCTTTACCTGTTCTGCACTTAGTACCTACCTACCTGCCTGCCTCCCCAGATATCGGAAATACTCTATACAATGACAAAACATAGCTGATAAAAACCTGTAAATTCTTTGCCATGTTGACAGGCCGAAGGGCTAGAACTCAATTGGCCGCTAGATAGGAAAAGTAAAGTAAATTAAAGTAAATTAATAAAGAAAGTGTTTTCGGGCTCACTTCAGGACAATCAAAGAGCTTATTCAACTTGGTAAATGCCTACCCCTGATTATCCTGGTTTGATATCTAATTCATAAGAACTTTTTGTACAGTGGGTGGTTATGTTCTGATCTGACTCACCTAGTGTAACTTTTTTTTTTTGTCAACAGTCATTCATTTTTCCGGTGTGTGAAGGGTTAAATTATTTTCCTATATCTAGCGTTACTCTTCTTAAATCAGTGGTTGAGTTAACTTTTCCTTCTGTAGTCAGGATTATACTTTGATTTCCCTTCTTCTTGGTCGTAATGACAGTATGACCGTCATCAGTTGCTGGTGTTAATATTGCCACCGTTATCTGTTGCCAATGTCGACTTTGCCACTTACATCAATTGCTCATGTTAAAATTGCCACCTTCATCAATTACTGGTACTCACATTGCCACCTTCATCAGTTGCTGATGTTAATGTTTCCTCCCGTCATTAGTTTGAGAGCACCTGTCGTTCTTCCCTTGTCTTTTCTATGCCGTTGTTATCCCTCTCCGTTGTCATTTTGGTGGCAGCACTGTGCACCTATCCTTGTGTCAGTGTGCTTTCTGCCCACTGTAGCAAATATATAAGTATATTAATGTGAAGTGTTTGTGCCTTATTTTATTGATGAGTTGATTTGTCAAACAGGGCTGCCCCTCATTACCAATTGGGAGGAATCGTTACATTTTAAAAAAAGAAAGAACATTTTCACAAATAAGATCCTAACATCCCTTATTTTGATTCTTTTAAAATCTATTTGATGTTCAGTTACCCCAACCCATCCCCACCCTCCCGATGTATAAGGAAGAAAAGCAGTCAGACTCTAACAGTCTATATATCACTATGTTATGTGCTACTGTCTAACTTAAACACCCTTATGCACAAAAAAATCCCTTAAGTTGCACCATAGCCAGGAGCAAGACAAACTTTAGTTTGACAAGATATTAAAAAATTCCTGCACTTCGTTTTGTGGGTGACAGCCAATTTTTTTTCCTTACGTGACAACAGCGAGTCCATCAAGATTTCTTTCATCACAACCTTGTTTACGTCCTTGACAACCCAAGAATAAAGACTATCCATGGTCATATTAGGATTTTTTAAAGTCAGATTGCCAATTCTTTTTTGTTGATTACTTAAATATATGAGGGTGCGGTGGCGCAGCGGTAAGTGCGCTCGTCTCCAAAGCAGAAAGTCCGGGTTTGAGCCTCGTTTCGGACAAGGATTTTTTTCACCCTCTCCTGCCCACCCAGCTGTAATGGGTACCTGACTTCGAGTTGGGGAAGTAAAGGCGGATTGGAAAGAAACTGGCCACCCTACCCCAATATGCCGAAGGCTCAGGAAGTTGTCTCACTAACAAGGCAATCCCAAATGTCCAGATCAGATGCGGGAACAACTTTAACTTTTTTACTTATATATATCCTGATGAGTGGGCAGCCCTGCAAGCATTGCTGATATAGTCATACTGTCTGAAAAAAGATTGGGTTGGGGGAATTGATAATTTTGTAGTTTGTCGGTATACCTACTCGTTAATTTTCATGAACTGGAAATCAGGTGAAGTGCTCTGACTCTTAACCTCTCTTTTTCTTTTAAGTTTTAGTTCACTAGGACCTAGTAATGCTGTTCAGTATTATCAGTTGTTACTGTTCCCTCCCTCCCCCCCATCCAACTCAAATACTTTTTTTTACATAAAATGCTTTAGAAAGTCAAAGTAAAACCTGCATTATTGAACGGAGCCTACCACTGTACTAAAATACATACTTTCCAATTTTGTCTTAAGTCTAATTATTCTTTGTAGATGGAATTCTGATGGGGTTTGCTTCTCCTTTTCTCAGTGTTGCTATTGCTCTGATCTGACTCCAAATGAAATATATTTGATATCGTGCCAGCTCTCAGCTCTGTGATATAAGTCACTGGATTTAGTATCTTCAGCAGACAGGATATTGCTTGCATGTGTCCTCACTTGTGACTTGAGTTGTTTTTGTTCTTTTTCTGATGTCTGGTAACATTTATGTTTTATAATTTTCTTTGATTTGCCAAGTGACATTGAACTCAGTTTTACTTTTTTCAAGTGGGGAGATTCGGGTTGTTTTTATTTTTTTCTGTCTATGAGCATGGGTGTCCCCATCCTAGTTATGATGTCTGGCAGTATTGTCTGAGTAGATAGCACTTTCTTTTACAGCTGTTTCGGAAGATTTTAGCCTTGGCCTGAGTCTCCCTCAGCGTTCCTTCCTTCCTCCCCCGCATTGCTTCAGTGCGTGTGGTTCGGTGTCGCATGTTGTCATTAAAGTCGGGGTGGTCCCCCTTTATGTTTTCCAGTCCCCGTTTCAGAGCCCTGAAGAACTTGTTCGGCGTGGCCAAGCACCCTGACTGTGGCAAGGTCTCCGGGATCTATGAACTTCTCCTGCGACAGTTCTCAGAGTCAGGTATGGACTAGGACAGTACTTGCCGACCTGGGCAATATTGCCCCTGCAAGTAGGCGATTAATTGGTACTTTTTTATGGGGAGTGGCGATCACCTGAATAGTGACAGGCTGCTGCCTGGGAATGAAAAAGTTCTATCAGACATTTCAGACATGGTATGATAGACAATATAGAGGAGTTTGGCTTCCCAAGATCGTGATGTCAGACACCAAATGTTCTATCTGCTGTATCAAAATGGTAAGATTATTCAAGGTGGATATCAAGCTACTCAAAGAATAGCATTCAAAAAAGCTTGACACGTGGTGGAATTCACAATTCTTAACGTCAAATTTCTCAAAACAAGGTACTGAGCAGATAGAACTTTGTAATTCTAGGGTCAAGGTGTTGTTTAATATCCAGTTTGGAAATACATTTCGACGGATGGTTTGGAAATTTTAACCTCTCAAATGTGGTAAAAATGGATGTTTGTTATTAAAAATGGGACAAGCACTGGTTAAGATTGTTTCTTAGACTGGCTGTTTTGTCCTTGTGTCTCAGGCTCAACCCAGACTAAGTAAGGTACTTAGCATCCCAGCAGAAAATAAGAAAATAATCACTTGAAAAATGTTTTTTCTCTGTCTGGAAGGTAGTGCAGATAATTGTAGTTTGCAGATAAAGTTCAACTGCTATTTATAGTCCCATATATCTTTCACTGGAAGACTCGCCCAACGTTGCAATAGTAATTCCATTTATTGCTGAGGCTGTTTGAATGTTCCATTTTTGGCCCCTTGGAAATGTGCAACTTTGCAGCCTCTTGGGCACATACTGCTGTCATTTACATATTCTGTCTGCTTTGATTGCCTGTCGTGGTATAATATATTTGAATTGCTGTTTGCCATGTCAGCCCATGTCCATTGTAGTTAATTACCTCAATAAAGGTAGCCTTTTATTGTAGTAATTTATATTGGGTTGAGTACATTGGTTTTATTTATCCAAATAAATGTACTCCAGGGTATCAGCTTTTCTAATGTAGACACATAGTCGTACAGATCAATTAGATGCTACATATTTTTAAAATCCCTTATGATTTAATGGTCAGAGAAGATATTTATACTGACATGTACTACGTATACGGGTAGATCATGCTCCCTCCTGATTTTTATTATGGATGCAGCTGTCTATCTTGGCAATGGATTCAGAACAAAGAAATAATAGGTTTCTTTCTTTCAGTGACCCGTTTAAAGCATAACTTCGTCACTATGTTGCAAGTAAATAATTACTCACGAAGCTCCGTGTTTGTTTCAGGCTCTGAGCGTCGTCAGCGCAGAGTGCTGGACACGTCCTTGACCTACGTGCGTGGAGAGGAGAACCTGAATGGCTGGCGTCCCCGGGGAGACTCGTTGCTAGGCGACCACCAATGGGAGCTGGAAAAGCTGACACGCCTACAGATGGTATGATAGACAATATAGAGGAGTTTGGCTTCCTAACAAAAGGCAACGGCTTCCTAAATTATAACTTATGGCAACAGAAATGTGGCTGATTAGGTGTCTTTCGAGAGTTTTAAAAAAGGGAAAAGAAATCAAATGAGATGGTGCTAGGGGAAGCTTGCATGGGATGGTCACTTAAAAAAACAATTAGGAAGAGACAAGTGTAGTTCCAAGGACGCTTGAATCTACATAGAGCATAGGCTTCAAGCATGTTGCTCTTATTTGAAAAATAGACAACACAAAAGGCTGTGGTAAACAAGGATTCATGTGGGGTTTTTTTAGAGAACTTGAACAGATGGACAACAAAAAAAAGCCAGGATAAAATAGATTTTTTTTTAACATCTTAGCCCAGAAGTAAGTGGCAAACTCCGATCATTCACAGATGGTCAGATGAGACGTTTAGAGATATCCACTCATTTGTAGATGTTTTTTCTAAAAGGCATTTAACTCACTTTTTTTCAGCTCTGAAGGAAGGTTATTCTGTCAATGTCCTACTTTCAACTTCATTACTAGTCATTCTGGTGCGATTATGTTGGTTAATTCTATTGTTGCATCTGTATTAGTTAATCCTACAGTTAGAATTGTGTTGACCAATATTTTTTTAATTTCTGCTTTTCAATCGCATCACACTTGAAGAATGAGATCAATATCTTTCATATACTGGGCTGTTCTGCTTAATTTCTCTATTGACCCATACAGCTTTTCTTCTAAGTGTAATTAAAGAGGCTGACCATGGTTCATGTCTTATGGCCCTGTGTGTCCTGCACTGCTTGAGGATGTGTTTCACAGTTTGGTCTGCTTCTCCTTAGACATTTTGGTGATGGTGCAAGTTAAGAACATCTGTGCATGTGATGTTTGAATCTAGTGTGTTGTATTCTTAGTCTGAAAGAGGGTGATTGGCGCGTTTTTTGTGTGGTTTGTTCCTTCTCTCCTATCAATGTATCATCCTTTTCTCTCCTCCTTTTTTTTTTTGTGTATGTTTATCTCTAATAACACCTCTAATTTTCAGCACTTACATGACCTAATTGTATTGCAAGTGCTGTAAAAGTAACTAAAACTAAAACTTTTAGTCTGAAGATGGGATTCCTCCTGTGTGTTTGCCAGGTGGAGAAGACGCGACACGTCATCCTGCTGAGGGAGAAACTGGCCGAGCAAAACAAGGCCTCTGAGCTCAGCAAGCTCGACAAAGAGATTGTCAACCGGCAGGCCAAGGTAATGCAGGTTCTTGTTGTTGTTGTTGTGTTGTCGTTGTTTTTGCTGTACTTTCCTTCTATTGTTTCTGTCTAAAAAAAGGTGAAAGTAATGCTAAGTGACCATGGCTAACGCCATTGGCATAGGAATTTCAGTTATCAACCCACACTAAACGATTTATTTCGGAGACAACAAAAACAACTGAAGTGAGATTACTGATCACAAATAAAAGAGAGAGAGAGAGAGAGAGTGAATATAGACATGGAAGTGTTTGGGCACATAATATTTATGTTCTTTTTGTTGTGGGAGTGCACATGAACTTTGTTTGATCACTACGTTGTAAAAAGCCAAGACAAATATATCCCTGTGAGACGAATAAAGATTGTCATTGTCTGTCTATCTTACCTTTTCCCCAGCAGTAAATGACCGTTGTTGCGTTGATGCACTTCTCTTTATTCAAACTTAACTGTGATTTTTGTTATCTCCACTCTTTTTCTGTATATGTTAATCTCTAGTAACACCTCAAATCTTCAGCAACTGTATGAGCTATTTGTGTTGGAAGTGCTGTAAAACCCATACTAAAACTAAACCTCCAGGTGAAGAGCCAGCGAGTCAAGAATGACGAGACAGAACAGAAGGTGGACGAGAACCCGAAGGACATAGACGTGAAGGAGAAGACCATGCAGATTCTCAGCCGGGGTGAAAGTCTCGAGCTGAAGACAGACGGGGAGCCAGAGAAAGAACTGGCTGCCAAGTGTGTGCGGTTCATGCTGCAGGGCCGACTTCCGCTGAAACCCCCACCTGTGAAGGTGAGCTCTGGGACCAATAGGTCACACAATCGCTTGGTTTTTTTTAGACAGCCCAACAATGTGTATGTAGGAGATTTAAGTTCGATTCCTGTGTAGAGAGAACTTTTATTGAGCATCTCCATGTCTCTGTTTTTCTGGTGGATAGTTTGTATTTCTCTCAGCCCGGGTGGCCTGGACAGGTAGGGTGGAAACAGCCTACCTCTTAAATCATCTAAATAGAGTCGATGGTGACGTAAAACTTCTACAGTTATATGTGTCACGACGTGGTGGAATCCGGCGCTCGTCAATTTTTGGGTATATGAGGTTATTGGTACCATCTTAAAGGCTGTTCATGTGCATTCCTTTTGGTGAAAAAAACCCCCATCCAGCTATGTTTAATAGAAGTCACAATATTTGCGATTGAAGGTGGTCAGGATCGCCTGGATTCAGAAGTAAAATAAGCTAGAAAGTGGCCGCCAAAATTTGGTAACTTCCATAGCCTGAGAATCCTTGGAAACTAAACTTTTATATTTTTTGTGCCTTTAATCAATGTTTTTCCGTAAAATCCGCACAAATATATGTTTTTAAATGGACATAAAAGGTGTTGAGCCAAAAAAAGAAAATTGGAAAATAATTGCCCATCAGCCAAAATAATGCCGATTTCTTTGATTTCATTATTTCAACGAGCACCTAATTTCACCACGATGCCTCACATATTATATTTACATTTCTCTATCTCCCTACCCTGTTGTCTATCTGTCTTTCTCTTTTGCTATCTGGGTCTCTTTCCCTATGATTTATGTTTATCTGTCTATTTCCATAAGTTTTGCATCTCTCTGTCTCTCTGTCTCTCTCTCTCTCTCTCTCTCTCTCTCTCTCTCTCTCTCTCTCTCTCTCTCTCTCTCTCTCTCTCTCTCTCTTTCTCTCTCTCTCTCTCTCTCTCTTTCTCTCTCTCTCTCTCTCTCTCTCTCTCTCTCTCTCTCTCTCTCTCTCTCTCTCTCTCTCTCGCTCTCTCTCTCCAGTTTCTGTCTGTGTTTCCCTGTCTTCTGTACCTTCATCCACCCCCCCCCCCCCACACACACACACACCAAGGTACTTTTAGTACTATTCATCTGTTCTCTCTCATTCTCTCTTTCCTCCCTATCCTCCCTTCCCTCTCCCTTTTGCAGCAAGCAGACTCGATGCTGAGCTCCACTACCACTGTAGCCTCTGAGGAGAGTGAGGGTGGTCAGTCCAGCTCTGACTCCCTGGCCGCTAGCATGAACAGCTCCATGGTCTCTGACCAACTAGTCAAGTAAGTAACATCACTGAAGTATGCAATGGGTGCACGTGCTTGTGTGTGTGTTTTTTGTGTGTGTGTGTATGTTTGTTCGTGTGTGTTTGTACGTGTGTTTGTGTGTGTATGTGTGTGTCTGACTGTGTATACCTTTCATTGTGATAATGTTTATTCCTAGATTGTAAGACAAAAGCTGGTGAAAGCACTTGCATGTATGTGTGTGTGTGTGTGTGTGTGTTTGTGTGTGCATGCATACACATGATGTATGTGGGTGTATGTGTGTGTGAGAGGGACAGAGAGAGAGAAAGAGAGAGAGAGAAATGATTGTGTGTGTGAGAGAGAGAGAGAGAGAGAGAGAGAGAGAGAGAGAGAAAGCGAATGTGTGTGTGAGTGTGTGTGTGAGAGAGAGAGAAAGAAATAGGTGAAGTAATCTTACCCTATTGTAGTTGACATAATTTTGTCTTCTCTCAGGTCTGTGACGGCCATCCCCATCCAAGTGAGCAAGTCATGTGATAGTCTGCTGACCAGCTCCCCCTCCCCCTCCAGCGATGCCGCTGACCGCAAGCTCTCCCTGCCCATCAAGGCCATCAATCTGGACACACCCATGTTTGTGCCAGATGTGGAGGAAGTGCGGGCCAGCCCCGTGGTGTCGCGGCGCGGATACCTCAACTTCCTGGAGGACCAGACTAGTGGCTGGACCAAGAAATGGGTGGTAGGTGCTTGTGTGGCTAGAGAATGGCTAAAGAAATGGGGGATGAGTGTTTGTGTGACTACAGAATGGACAGAGAAATGGGTGATGAGTGTTTGTGTGGCTACAGAATGGCTAAAGAAATAGGGGATGAGTGTTTGTGGGGCTAGAGAATGGATAAAGAAATGGGTGGTAGAAGTTTGTGTGGCTAGAAATGAGAAGTAAGTGTTTGTGTGGCTAGAAATGAGAAGTAAGTGTTTGTGTGGCTAGAAATGAGAAGTAAGTGTTTGTGTGGCTAGAAATGAAAAGTAGGTGTTTCTGTGGCTAGAGAATGGATTTTAAAAATGGGTGGTAGGTTTTTGTATGGCTAGAGAATGGACAGAGAAATGAGCAATGGGTAATATGAGTTTGATAAGAGAATGGACAGAGAAATTAGAAACGGGTGGTGGGTGTTTGTGTGGTTAGAGAACTGATAGAGAAAGGGTGGTAGGTGTTTGTTTGGTGAGAGGATTTTCCGTAGAAATGGGTGGTGAGGGTTGTTGTTTTTTTTACTGAAGGATTTTACATTGAAATGGCTGGTGTTTATTTGACGATAGTTTTTTTTTTCTAGAAATTGATGGTAGGTGTTTGTTTGGTGAGAGGATTCTATGAAGAAATGGGTGGTAGATTTTTGTTTGTGAAGAGAAAGTACAGAGAAATGTATGTCAGGTGTTTATTTGGCTGAAGGATTTTACGTAGAAATGGATGATGTTTATTTGGCTAGAGGATTTTTGGTAGGAGTGAGTGGTGCATGTTTGTCTGAGAAGAGAGTGGACAGAGAAGTGAGTGGTAGGTGTTTTCTTGGATAAAAGATTGTCTTAAGAAAAGGGTTTATTTATGTTTGTCTGGCAAAGGGGTCACAAAGAAATGGATTATAAGTGTTTGTCTGCCTCAAAAATTTTATGAATAGATAATAGATGTTTTTGCTAAAGGAATTTTAGAAGAAATTGGTGGTCATTATTTGTTTGACTAAAGGATTTTTTCAGACATTGGTGGTAGATGTTTGTTTGGCTGGGGGACTTTACAGAGTAATGACTGCAACATGCATACTATGTGGAGTACAAATGTCCATTTCCTGTGTATGATGGTTCAAAATATGCCACAACATTGCCTTCGTCTGATGCTATTTGGGCATGTGTTTTCGCTACGCCTTTAAAGAGTAAACTAGCAAGTGGTTGGCGGGTGCTCTGGTGTGGTTTGCTCCTTCTTTCCTATCAAACATCTATCGTCCTTATCTTTCCTCCTTCTATTTTGTGTTTGTTACTCTCTTGTAACACCTCTATTCTTCAGCACTTATAAGACCTTATTGTGTTGCAAGTGCCTTAAAACTCTTACCAAAAAAAAAGAGAAAACTAATCCCATGTGTGCTGGCTACTGTGTTTTCAGGTGGTGCGTCGTCCGTATGTGTACATCTACAACACAGAGAAGGACCCTGTGGTGCGTGGCATCATCAACCTGGCCACAGCCAACATCGAGTACTCAGAGGACCAACAGGCTCTGCTCAGGGTAAGACTCGGCTAACTATCATTACCAATTTGGAGTTACACTTTTTTTTTTTATGAAATGGCGCAAATAGGTTGATTAATGTTCTGATTCCAATTTTTTCTTTTGTTTTGCAAGAGACAAGTCAACAGCCAAGAACCCCACCTCCCCACTTTTTTTCCAAACTCAACTAAGACGAAATCTCTTTCATCACACCATATCTTGCGTCAAAGTTCATGTCGTGTTGGATGTTTCACATCTCACAAGATTCAAACAGGGAATCCCTCCCTATTATCTCAGCTGAAAGGAGTATTGGAAACTTTAAAACATCTTTCTTTTTTTCTTTTTTTGTTGCTTTTACCAGATGACCTTGTCCTCAAGGAAAAAGTATTTTTCCATTTTGCTCTGGAAATATCGAGGGGAAAAAAAAGTATTAAGCATGTTTCAAAAGTTATGATTTTATGTTGACTTCATAGACCACTAAGTTCCAAGAGCTGCTCACCATTTTGGCATCTTGGTGAAATTTCGAACAACAGAGACCAAAAAGCAGATGAAGTGTTTTTGTTTCTTTCAATGCAGCTTGGTAACCAATTACACTTTAGGTCATATTGTATGGGCTATAGAAGTTATCTGCATTACTTTTATTATCCCTTCAGACACAGAATGCGTTCTCGGTTATGACCAAACACCGCTGCTTCCTGCTGCAGACCATTGATGACAAGGATTTCCACGACTGGCTGTACGCCATAAACCCACTGCTGGCAGGGCAGATCAGGTAGGGATGGGTGTATTATCTGTTTCTGTAGGGGAATAGAGTTCACCTCTGGTTAGTAGGTGGGTAGGTGGAGGGTACAACTGATAGATCCTACTCCTTTCTTTTCTTCTATTGTGGCTATCAGGCTATCATTCTTTGGCCTTGCACTTAATGACTGTTGTTGTGTCGATGCACTTCTCTTAATTCACCCTAACAAACAACGAAACTGCCTCTTGTTGATCCTGCTTCTTTTCTTTCCCTCTGTTGTTTTGGTCAATGTAATGCTATTTCTCTTTACTAAATGATATTCATATTATTGTGTTGATGTACTTCTTTTACTTGAAGTGAACGAATCTGTATATACCTTATTTATTTACTGATACCATACTGTACTTGTATATGCCAGGAGCATATTACATCTCAATATTGAGACATGCTTTAATTTTACTTTCCTTTGCCCCCTTTATACACTGACTAATATTTTCGTGCCTCCAAATTCACAGATCAAAACTGTCCCGCAGGAAGCAGCCAATGAAAATCTAAAGGCTCCTGTGGTCGGCCGGGTTCAGCCCTTTGATGTTCTACATGTTGTCCTTGTCAACAAAATGCTTCTACACCAAAACCATCAAGTGGTCAACTGTACCCCAAGTGTGTGATTTGTTCTCTATGGAGTGGTGTCACCCAGTGTTCTATTCCAGTCATGCACCATAGCCAAGCACATTTGGTCTACTCTTATCTATAATGATAGTCCCCTGATATAACAGACTTTTTTTTCTCTCATTTCTCATTTTCATCATCATGTGACATACTTTTTCCTCCATGTTCATCTTCATATGACATAGTTTTCCTCTCATTTTCATCTTCATGTGATATATTTTCCCTCTCATTTTCATCATTTGAGAAGTCTGGGCTCCTTCATGGAGATAATGAGAAGATAATGAGAAGAGTTGTGTTAAATGACTTGAAAGTCTTTGGTTTGATACTTAGAAAAGAGATAAAAGAAGAGAGTGAATCCTTCTGAGGGTCTTTGGAAGTGTTTTTTGGACATGCAGAGTGTGCACCCTAATGTGTCAATGATTGAGTGATGAATGATGGGCCGGGGGGATGTGAGAAGATATGGAATGGACGAGGTTTTTGTCAGTGGTCAAGGGGCCCCTGACTTTGTATCAGTTGCCAGGGGGTTGATGAGTTGGGGGTTTGAGAAGTCCTGACAAAGGCTTTTGTCAGAGTTGAAGGAAGACTTGTTTTCTGTCATGATTGTCACATGATCTGAAACAATCATTATTGTCCGTTCCATCTTGTCACCCATGAAAATTCCTTGCCAGACACTTGGCTCATCGTGTACCTCCAGCGTAAGGTTGTAGTATTACGAGTCACTCTGTTGTTTTGGCCTACTCATAGACTTGATATTTTTGTTCTGCTTTTTTTTTTTCCTAGAACGGAATGGGAACTGGATTATTTGTTTTATTGTCAAGAGGTTGTTTATTTTGGGGTTTTTTAAATTGCTGCTCTAGTGTTTTTGCCAGCGTCCCATAATGCGCAACTCGCAAAGCATAATGCTCATCTCTTTTACTGTATATATTGAGGTATTTTCGGCACACAGGGTTAAACATTTTCTTCTCAAATATTGTTTTTCAAAATCATTTGTATACTTCCTGGTTGTAGCAGTGTTATTTGAAACTCTTCTTTAGATGTATCAGGACCTTCCCATTTTCAAGGGTTAAAAAAAATAGCTACTTGCATTTGTGAACAATTTATAAGGAGCTTTGAGAAGAAAAATCATAGCTTTTGGAATTACGACAGCTAGTTGATGGCATTTTGTTTCATAGCTAAAAGTTAAAATGACAAACTTCAGAATGAATAAAAGTAAATCACATCTGGCTCCTCTTTAGTCAATTGATATAGGAAACATATTTATGTCTAACTCCCTCTTCTATATACAGTGCAGTATATTACCATAGCCGAATTTTCTTGTGCATGTTAAAGTTGATGTTTACAGCAGATCCGTGACAAGCCCTCATTATATGATTATTTCAGAGTGCAATATATAATAAGCTATTGTGTGATTATTTGTGACGGTCTGTGCTCTCTTCTATGTGTGCTCCAGTCGACGGTCTAGTAGTTTCAGCGTCTTTTTCATCATCGCTGCTCACAAATATTGGATGCTTTCTTGTCATTGTTCTATGCCACACTAGTCATAATCATCGAATTTTGTAGCTGTTTTTATGTAGATGCTGCCATTTCTTGAGACGCCATCTCACTGTCTGTTGTAGAAGCAATGAGCTGTCCACCATTGCTTTTCCCATTCCTCTTATTCTTAACCTTCAAATTCTAATTTCTGAATTTCTTTCTTCTGAATTTGCATTTTTCCATTTCTTACTATATGGTTTCTTTTTATTTTTACATTTATATTTTTTTTTATTCATCAATTTCTCCTGGTGTTTATCAGAGTACCGTGGACATTCTCCACAAACTAAACTCCTGGTCATAATAGATGGTCTTTCATACTTTGTACTTTTCCTCTCTTCCTCCTCCTTATTCCCTTCTTCCTTCCTTTTGTCCTCCTTAATCCTTTCATAATACTAAAATCTGCCACTTGCCATATTGTGACTGGGTAAACTGTGGCCATAGCCTATAGTCTCGTGTTTTGCAGACAGAGAGAACATCGCTTTCTAATATAACGTCCTGTAATTCTGACTTTTTACACAGTTTCAAGAAATGTATGTTTTGCTACTCTTTACAAGCATGTTGCTTGGTTGGAGAATGACAAAGGGTTTTTAACCTGGTTCAGAAAAGTTGTGATTGTCCATTTGTTAGACATGCAAGCTTTCTCTACTTTTTCAGCTTAGAAACTGTTCTAAAGAGTCTTCTTAAACTTCAAATTAAGAAAGACTTCTTTTCCTCCACATATTATATCAAATAGTAATCATTGTAATCTTTTGCTTATTCAATATTGATTATTACAGCCTCCATCGGTGTGGTGTAGGATTTGTTAAAGGTTTTACTTTAGAAGGAAATTGTTGGCTAATGAGCAAAGATGCTGAAGGCACACCCTTAATGTGCTGGTCTTGTAGAATTACTGTAGATCACAACATCAGCATAATACTTCACTGTTACAAAAATAGCCCAGAGGCTTTGAGTCCTAGAGATACCAGAAATTAAGAGTTAAGAGAAGTAAAGGGAAAGTTGCCATGTGATCTAGATTTGTGTCCTGTTTGTGAGCCAGTGTGGTTGGTCAGTGAATCCATGTTCTATTGTTGTGTAGACTTTCTCTGAGATGAGTCAAAGATTTGGAAAGTTGTATAAAGGTCATCGATTGAATTGTCTTGTCTGTCGCTCGCTCACAGAGTAATCAAAAATTGTTTTTGTATAATTTTGAGTTTCAAGTGTCATAGCTCAAAATGACTTGAGGGTGGGTGGTGTGTGCTACATAGAAAACTGTATCATATTTTGTACATTTTACTTTTGTAATATTATCTTTGTGTTAGGTTGTTTTGTTTTGTTTTTGTGCCCTCCTTTCATAATGGTGCTTTTATATCTGACTTTGGTGTCAAGGCCACCCAGCTTTCAAACTTGTTTGACGTTTCTGCGGATGACAAATCTATTTTTGTTTCAACGGAATAGGTAATAGTTGCTCTTTTTTGGTTAAATTGTATAGTTTTCCTTTTTTTCCCTTCTTCCCTGATTTGAAAGAATTTTGTGTTTGGTGATATGAAAATTGCCTTAATCAGTTCTGTTGTGAATGGCTCAGAAGGCAGATATGTTTTGCTGTGTATACCCCACTTAGTTTTTCAAAAGGCTTTCCTGTCCACTCATTAACATTGAAAAAAAAAAACATTGTCAAGTCTCAACTGACAGAAATTAGGAGTATGTTAGACTTTCATAATTTGGCTTATTTTTTAAATTCAGTTTGTTTTAAGTTTTTCTATTTTTATGCCTTTAGAACTCTCAAACTACAATTTTGTTTGATAAAAAGTAGGTCTTTGCTGTTTTTTCCTTACTTGCTTGTAGTTTATTGTTTATTTTTCTACATCTTGTAACTTAGGTCTTTTTATACATGTGTCTTTAAGGAACAAGGGTTGTAAGAAGTCATTCCCTACAGACTTATAGTCCCCATTGTCTTTTGATAAATATGTATATGCATTTGAAGATAAAGAAAATTGTGACATTGAAATCAATTTCCAGCTTCTTTTGTACCACAAAGATTTTTTACTCGTGAGAGACTTTACTAACTTGAGTCATTCAGGGATGTCTTGTGCTCCAATCAGATAATCCATTGAAACAGCTTCAGTGGTACTTTTTGTACATAGCAGGTTGTCTTTTGTTTGGCATATCTGACTGATGTTGGGCAAGTGGCAGGGAAAGTGTGACCTTTTCTGACCCCTTCTCGTGCTCAGGTAGTATGACATGTTCAGAGAAGCTTACTTTGTGATGCTAAAAATAGAAAGTGAGATTTTACTGGTATGACGTATGGAAACCCTTTGTATAGTAATTGAGGGACAAGGGAGAGAATAGGCTGATTAGAGTACTAGGTATTTGGATATTCTTTTGTTAGTTCCATGGAATGTAGAACGTTACTGCTCTACTGACTGGCACAGTGTGTAGTTAACTCACTCGTTGTCGAATGTAGAGAAAAACTGCCGTAGTAATGAATACAGATCTACCTTAGCTAAAGGCATGTGTTCTTGCTCTACGTTTTAAGTAAAGGTGGAGAAAGCTGAGGAAAGCCAAGCGCTTTTATTGACCTGCTTCTGGGTTCAATCGCATTCTTGTGGCTCTCTGGAAAAGAGGAGTGTTCTTGTGTGATTTTGGGAGGTGAAGGGCAGGGGGAGGAGGGCTTGGGTGGAAGGAGAAATGGGTAGGATTTTGGGGTGGGGGTGGAGAGGAGGGTTTATTTTTTTCTTTCCTCATCACTTGTTTCATCTTGACTGTGATCATTCTGTATTTTTCCATTAATTGTGCTGGTATTACTTATTTAAGTAAGCACTGTGTAAAGTGTATGTATCGATTGTATCAGTTGTGATTATTTAAGGAACGGTGTACATTTTGTGTATCATATTTGGTGTGTCTTGCTGTAGCATACTCGTATCTCGTCAAAGAAAAGTGTACAAATTTCTGGCTGAAAATCAGCAATACCGATCAGTATGTTTATGTTAGTTTGTCTGGCTTTCAGTTGATTGAAATAATCCTGAGGATAGGCCCCCGTGTTTCTGAAAGCGGTCAAAGTTTGAAAAGAAATCCTGTCTTTTTGACCAGTCACAGGGATGGTGTTGTGTATCTGGGTTGTCTGATGTTTGACCGGTCCATCTTCCCTGAATGATCCTCATCTGTATTTCTGACTAAAAGACTTGTAAACAATACCTTTTATATCCTTGAAACAGGTGAAAATATTACTGCCCCATTCCATGAAACTTACAGTTTGCTGTCGTTGTGAAATCCTATTCATTATTTCCAGCAAAAATTCTTTCTCCCTCACTGATTCAAAAACAGAAACACATGTACTTACACACACACACACACACACACACATAAGTACACACATATGCACACACACACACGCATATGCACACACACACACACACACACACACACACACACATAATTACACAAATATAAAAACATAAGCTTACACACACAGGTTTACAACACATAATATAAGAACTGCATATTATGTGATCTTTTATTTATATGTAAATTGGATATTTTGCCATTTCCGTAACTCAGGGTTAGTTGTATGTTGTTCTTGGTCTACAGACTCTGACTTTTCTGAACTGATTTCTCAAGTCTTCATGGTTACCTTTTCTTACAATATAAAACTTATGTTGTGTATGAGCCGTGTTGACTGGACTTTACAGAGAGCTACTCTCTCTTCAAGTGAAATTTCTGTCAAGTTGTGAAGACCACTACGACTACCTCGTGGTAGGTTGAAATGTGAATGGATTCAGTGTGGTTTGTCTGGCAAACCCTAAAGCATAATGAAAAAATGATAATATAGCTTTCTCCGCAAAGAAAATGCTCCAAGTGAAAGTACAGCTTTGCTGTTCATGATCAAGGCAGCCAGAGTATATAAACATAACCAAGCACAATTTGTTGTGAAATTCTTTAGTGCTGTTCAGGGATTTTTTCTCATGCTTCTTGAATACCCAATTTTCATGATTTTAAACGAAATCTGCAAATTCAAGTCATTTGCAAAATGTTAAAAGGAGCACAACTGCAAATAATACATGTCAATGGGTGACTCAAATTGCTAATTCAAAAAGTTCTAAACATAAACTTAATGGGGAAAAGGCAGAAAAAAAACAAACGAAACGAGTGTATAGTATTCTTTTAGACCAGTATAGCTCCTATGCTTTTGCCAACACAAAGTCTCTTAACATGAAATATCCTCTTTACTGCTCCTCTGATCTATGCGCACTTTTGTTTCCCATTATTCTCTCCCTGGTATGCTTTTGATATCACATTTTGACTGGTTTGAGTTACTTACATTTATCCACACAGGCATTGGTAAAAGATAACTTTTGTTTTCTTTTTCTTCTTTTACAGTCTGTCAATCTGTTAAAATGCATGTATGTGTATATTTTTCTCTTTTCTGCTCTGTGTCTTGTTTCTGTTTTCTCCATCTTGTCCTCTTTCCAAATTTTGTCTTTCCTTCTATGGATATATTGCCCTTTATCTCTTTTCTTTCCTGTAAGAAATCCAAAATCCAAATGTTTTCTTCTCAGTACAAGCGCACTACCCTCATTTCTCACTTCCTCCCTCACATCCCCCTCATAGCGGAAAGGAGGGGGGGGGGGGTGTTTAAGGTCTTACTCCTTTTCTTTACTCTGCTCATACTGTTTTTCTATCTTGTACACACAGATACACACACACACACACACACACACACACACACACACACACACACACACACACACACACACACACACACACACACACACACGCACAGGGAAATACTTATACACCCCGCTAAACAAAGATACACCTGTTGTGAGATGGTACACATACAAAAGAACAAACGTGGACATACGTCAGTTCTTATTGCCATTCTTAATCGTGCAATATCTGTGTAGTGTTCATATCTTCCAGCCTAGTGAATGTGTCAGCCCGTGAATTCACTTTACTGTGTCTTTGTTTAATTTGTTCAGCTTCTTATGTGTAGAATTATGGACCGTTCTCTCTTAATCCCTTTCGTTTCCCCCTGTATATTTCATGCTTTGTTATATAAAGCAACGTAAAATTATTTTCAAAAGTGGAATTTCTGTACCTGTTGTCATGGATGATTTGTTTCTTATTATCTGTGACTTTTACTGGTTGGGAAGGAAGTCCTTCTGAGTAGAAACAACATTGTTGATATGTGTTGACTCTTGCTCTTTTTTATGTTCAGTGTATGTCTCAGTTGGTCACAGTGTGGCTTTACAAAGAGATAAAGAAGGGTAATATGCTTCACACAGACATTTCTGATTGTTTGAGTGCATGGCTTTTCTTTTTTCCACCCTGGAGTGCCCAAACGGGTTGTTTTTTTTTCTTTCTGGCAGATATTTCGGCATAACTTGAATGTCCAGATTATGCGTTGACTCTCAGACAACCACTCTTTATCAACCAGATTTGTATGTGCAATCTCAGAGGACTTGAATGTCCAGATTGTGCATTTATTTTTTGTGGACTTGAATGTCCAGATTGTATGTGGGCTTTCTATGGACGCGAGTGTCCAGATTGTACCTTTACTTTCTGTGGACTTGAATGTCCAGATTAATGACAAATTATTTTCTATGGACTTGAAAGTCCACATTTGTATATATTGACTTTCTATGGACTTGAATGACCAGATTTATGATAAACACTCTTGGGACTTCATGGTTCAGATTTGATTTTCTGAAAAAGACTTGCATATACTAAGGACTGGAAGCTGTGGACTTGTAAAAAATATAACTTTTCTGAGAACTGGATTGTCCAGACCTGTGAACGGCAAAGCTAGTGTGTCTAATGAGAGGGAAGTTCAGGTCTCTGTCGTCTCCGCCAGAATTGCTATCCAGAATCCGGTTTTGATAAATTGGGTTGTCTGCTATGGTAGATCAGAACAGTATAAAGGCAAAAGTTATTAGCATAAACCGTGAACTTTTTTTCTCGGTTTAGCTTTCAGTGATCCCCGTGTTGAAACTTGAAGAAATGCTTTCGAATGTGAAATGGTGATTTCAACTAGTCTGGTGGGAAATTTTATGTGCAGACTTTTTTGTATTGGTCTTTTGTGGACTATCACAGGTAGGCTTATGATATTGTTGGCCAGCTCCTCAGATGTATTTGTCTATAATTTTGAAAACAAATGTTTGTTATTAGAGTTTCTCAGTTTGTGGTATTGGTTGTATGTGCTCGTGAAATATTTTTCTGGAATTCAAATTCTAAATGTTGAAAAAAGCAAGAAAAGATACATAATTCTGGTACAATTTTGAAAAGAATTAACAGGGTTTTTTTTTCTTTTCAGTAAAAAAGTTTGCTTTCTGGGCTGAAAACATTTGAATAGCTTGTCAATGACATGCATATCCTTGTATTGGACACTACCACGACAGTCATGTAAACGTACAAGTGAATGGGTCAATAAAAATATACAGTTGTAGTTTGAGGCAACTTTCCTCATGCTTACATCTCTGTACTGGTCAAGTCTTTCTCTACTTGCATATATATAAGCATTACAGGACACAAAGCATGTTGTCAAAGTCTGTGCATTGTCACACGACTTGATATTAAACATAATGATATATGGTGTATGTAGTGATCTGTCATATGTCCTCTGTGATATAATGACAGGGCTCAGGACATAATATATCTGGTATGGTAATGCGAGGGAAAGTTGACACAGCAGAGATGTGCAAGGTCCCATATACTGTGTAGAGAATTAAGTCCTCTGTTCCGATGCCAACACTTTTTTACATTTGATCAATGAATAAATGAGACTGGATAGGAGAGGGAGAAAGTCAGAAAGTTGTTTCTGTAAAGCATGACATTAATAGATACATTATGATAGAAATATACAATGTATATGGTGTTCTTAGTATCTACACTATCTTTAGAAGTATATTGGCTGCTTATAGCACAATCATCTTTTGTATGGGTTCAGGGGTGGTTGCTATTGGGTGTATGGACATCAGAACTTGCGACTTAATTCTTCAGGATGTGATGTGCGAATGCCTTTCGACATTTCGGAGGAAAGTTGTATTAACTTTACACACATACCTCATTTTACAAGACTTTTATGAAGAAAATTATTTAAAGAGATTTATTTTAGAATAGTTAATTTGACACACGTACCATGTTCGCAAGACTTCATTTGGAATGGTGAGTGTATTTCAGTAAAAAGGTAAACCACAATACTTGGCAATGTGTTTCATATATTTCGTGAGTGAGACATTTACAAAATTACTCCTTAATGTGTATCTAACTGCCATGGGAGACAGGTTGGCTGTTTTGAGAAGGGCGGAGGGGGAGTTGTTAAAATTGTTTTGTTGTTGTTTTTTTCTTATGAATATCTAAGGCCTCCTGGGTGGAAAGTGATGTAAGTTTGCCTTTGTGTATGTGTGTACATATAATAATATATGATTATGATTATTACGGAATCTCTGACAGGGCTGCTGTTGTATGCCCCCCGTTGTCATCGTCTTGGTAGACTCTACTACTACTACTACTACTGGTTGTTTTCGCTAGCTGTGTGTGTATCCCATGCTTCAGTCAGTCTCGTGTATGCTGCTTTCTGCTCCTCATCATCCGGACCGGCTTGTGTCTCTTGTGCTGTATCAGTCAGTCAATCAATCAATCATCATGAATCCAAACCGCTAAGCTTTCTTCACGTATCGTAGTAGATGAGATTTATGCCACTCGCTCTGTGTAGCCATAGGCTAGCGGGGGCTGGGTAGTAAGTTGTCGTCTGTCGCCACCACCGCAGCCGCGAGCTGAGGTTTTCTTTTTTTCTTTTTGTTCTTTTGTTTCGTTGTTTTTTTTCTCTCTGATGTTTTCCGTCAAACTTTTGTGTGTCTTGTCACCATTCCAAGTCGAGCTTACGTCAGCGCTCCTAAAAAAATAAAAAAACAACTTACAATAAACTTTGCGAGTCAAAACCTGAGGTGGTTTATGCCTCCTGCTTTGTGTGAGTTTGTTCTTTTTCATGTGCTTTTTGTTGTGTTTTGTGTGTGTTGTTGTTGTTGTTGTTGTTGTTGTTGTTGTCTGAGTGTATGTGTTGTTGTTGTTGTTGTCTGTGTGTGTGTATTTGTATGAGCGACAGAGAGAGAGAGAGAGAGGGGGGGGTGATGGGAGACAGAGAGAGATTGTGTATGTGTGCGCGTGTGTAAGAGAGGGGAAAAGGGGATGGGGAGTGAGTATGTATGTATGTATGTATGTGTGTAAGAGAGAGAGAGACCTGTAAAAACCACGTGGCGCAGACTGACATTACCAGACGGGGCCCATATACCAGACCATCTTAATTGGGCCCGCTTGGTGGCCATTTCTTTGGAATTGGTACTGGCTGGGCTGTCCTTTCTATCTAGGCCTTGCTTATTGGCAACTTTAAGGCAATTGTTGCGTCAATGTAATCCTCTCTCTCTCTCTCGCTCTCTCTCTCTCTCTATCTCTCTCTCTCTCTCTCTCTCTCTCTCTCACTCACTCACTCCCCCCCCCCCCCCCCCCCCGGGGGGTGGTGCCACTGACTGAAGTGTCTTTAGGCCATTCCCAAAGGGGGGCGGGGGGCATTTCTCGTTCATGCACAGTAGAATTGTAAATGGGCCGATTCATCAATGCCACGCTCATAACTGCCTGATCTACAACAGAGAACTGCTGCTTTTTCTTTCCTAATCCTTACTATTGTCATTTCCCTCTACTTCTTTTGTATGTTTGTCACACTCTTGTGACCCACTCTTACCGGGTAGCCTTGATACTCGAAGCAGACTTTGTGCTGTTGAAGCTAGAGAGGTGAGCAGAGTAAGTCTGATCCCCTGTAAGGACTTCTCAGCTGACATCCACCCCTTGACGCTCATATGACCTTATGCAGTTGCGAGCACCGTAAAATCTCTACTAAAACAAAATATCTCTCTCTCTCTCTCTCTCTCTCTCTCTCTCTCTCTCTCTCTCTCTCTCTCTCTCTCTCTCTCTCTCTCTCATCTCAACTTTCTTCAGATTTGAGCTTTGAGGTCAGGTTGAAGTGGCTCAGCTGGTGGTTGGAGGGTGTTCCGATGTGGTTTGCTTCTCCTTTCCTATCAAACGTCTATCATCTTTATCTCCCCTCCTTCTTTTTGTGTTTGTTATACTCGTGTAACCCCTCTAATCTTCGGCACTTATATGACTTTATTGTGTTGCAAGTACCGTAAAACTCTTACGAAAAACAAGTGGCTCCAGAGACGTCCCAAAGAGAACACTATACCTCATCCTTACACAAGAGACGGGGAACAATAGGTAGATCTAGGCCTAGATATTGAAAACAACCTTTCCTCTCGTCTAAATAAACACAAAACAAAAAAAAAAACACGTCTGTGACAAATAATGCATTTTAGATTGCAATAAAGCCTTTTAAAAAAAAATTGTGGCCGGTCCACTCTACCACAATGTATCTGTTCCACTTGACGATCTATTAGGCCGACCTTCCTTAGGAAGGCTTCGGGACATACGTACCTCACGCGTGAAAACAAGAATGGGAACAATTTAAAGTCTTAGAGTACCGCTTTACATAGTACGACACGACACAGTGGTAATGAAAACCGCGTGTGTTGAAAAGTCAACTAGTTCACTTTTTGTGAAGCGTGTGACACTACCGGAGAGGAGAGCCGTCTTCTGCAGATATTATTTTTATATTTAATTTTGGATCCCGTCAAAAACAACCCACAGGTTTTAGGTGCGGAAACAATCTATGTCTTGAGCTCCTCAAAAGTTTTGTAAGAACAGTGTGTCATCTTTACGCGTATTCAAAGAGCAGAATTCTTTGAAACTCACCTCTTGTGCTCCTCGTGAGAAAATGTTCACAACACCACTTGGACCGCTTTTTTCTTTTTTTTCTTTTTTTTAACCGGTCCATTTTTATCAAGCAGCTCTTTTGCTTTCAGTAGTAGTAACAACAACGGCAAAAAATGGGCAGCATTTGGGATTTTAAAATAACTGTTAGTAAAAGTTGTGTGGCGTCGGTGGCCTAGTGGTTAGGCTCTCGGACTCGCAACCGTAAGGTCGTGGGTTCGAATCCCGTCAAGGGCCCGACGTTGTGTCCTTGGGAAAGGCACTTTACACGAATTTTCCTCACTTCACCCAGGTGGGAATGGGTACCCGGCTATAGACAGCGAAAGATCTTGTCAGTTTGTTAGTGTTTGAGCGCTTAATCGGCTGCTCGCACTGTATGCTTCCCGGGAAGCTGAGAATGTTTCGGAGTGTTCTATGGTCTGCTGGGGTAATAATATAGTGTAAAGCGCATAGAGCCTGCTGTTGAGCGGGGATATGCGCTATACAAATGCTATCTATTATCTATTATTATTTTTTATTATTATAAAAGTTTAGACACTATATTTGATGACCCACAATCTTGCCACCAAAATTCGTCTGTGAACGAGAAAATTGTCGCTGTTTGTCAGCACCAAGTTGCGTAAGATTCTTATCCTTCTATACGACAAGTCAGTGACATGTCTGAACTTTTGTCTGGGTCGGTGTCTAATAGTATTATTCGTCGACAGCTCCACATGAAACAATAGATCTATGTACCGATGAGTCCTCCAATTTCAGCAAATCTAGGCCCTGGGTGATTACCTCATCCCTTATTAAGCCCCTATAGCTTCCAGTTGGTCTTCCTCGTTTTCTATTTCCAAGTCTGATTGATAGCGTAATCTTGTCTTCGGCATTCTTAAAACGTGTTCTAAATATCTCCAGTTTCTCCTTTTTATAGTTGTGTTGACATCTTCAATTCTAGCTCTTTCCAACACTTCATTATTTGTAATATAAATTCGGTCCATCCTTTTTTTTAGGGTGGGGGTAGTTTCATGAAAATAGTTAAATCTCTTCTGGGTACACAACAAAGTCGTTTTGCATCCTGGATTTCAAAGCAGAAAAGTTGTTTTATTAGGTTTTCTCTCTTTTTTTTTGTCAGTTACGATGGTCCCCTTATGGTTGATATCATGCATTGACATAATAGCCTACTACTTTGACTTCTTACTTTGTGCTAAAAGTACTGCCCCAGTTGAAAAATGTCGTTGAGGAACTAAGACTGGAACCTCTCGCACCATGCTACTCCACGACAAAGCAGCTCCCTACATAGCATCATAACTGTACATGCAAGAGCAAAAACTATGTACATGCAAGAGCAAAAGTTCCAAATTTTGCCTCATCCCGCCTACAGTACTGACTCAGTTCCCTGTGACTTCTGGTTGTTTCATATTCTGAAAGATAAGCTTGATGGACGAAAGTTTGAAAGCGTTCAGGATCTAGCAAGAGTTGTCAATTCAGATCTCTGCGAAGGGTACTGACAGTTAACTATCGCTATGCCTTCCAGAAGTGGATGTAGAGGCTAGAGAAACCTGCGTACAAAGTTTAAAATAATATTTCGAGGGTTTGCGAAAATGTCAAAGTTTGTTGAAGTTTGTGAGACATTTCACAACTGCCATTACTTTTCTATCCACTTTCGTACGACTCAGACTGT